GTGAACCCACCCTATATTAAAACTTAAATCCAACTTGTTGTCATTGAAACATGAACAATGATAATTTGTAAAAGTGCTAAATTTCAAAAGGCACCAGTTCAGTATGTGCCTGGTAGACATGCAAAGTTTTGTAAGAAAGTATTTAACGGTTTTTGAGTTACGCTCCGGAAACGAACACCACCCTTATAGTACCTAAGTCCAACTTGATGCCATGGAAACGTAAAAAAATACAATTTCTAAACTTCCTAAATAGCAAAAGACATCAGTTCAGTATGTGTCTGGTAAACATGCAAATTTTTGTTAGCAAGTATTGAATGGGTTTTGAGTTATGCTCCGGAAACTAACTCTTCCCTATGTGTACCGTACATGTAGTATATCGGAAAAGCTGTCTTCGCATCACGGCGTATGTTAGGAATAATAAGAAAACTATAGGTATGTTTAGATGTGTTATTTATTCATCCAAAAGGTACCAAAATGACATAATGATATTCAGTATAAAACGTAATCCCCCCAGAAAGGTCCTGCGACTAATTATAGTATCAAGGAACGCTTGCTACTCAAAATCTGCCCACGAAAGGGCCAGCGATTCTGCCATTGAAGGGGCCGGCAAGTCCGTTACCGAGCACCCCATTAACGCCATGTCCACCAACAATTCCACCATGACCAGCAAGTCCGTGTCCACCAACAAAGCCACCTTGACCACCAAGTCCGTGTCCACCAACAAAGCCACCTTGACCAGCAAGTCCGTGTCCACCAACAAAGCCGCCTTGACCACCAAGTCCGTGTCCACCAACAATTCCACCATGACCAGCAAGTCCGTGTCCACCAACAAGGCCGCCATGACCAGCAAGTCCGTGTCCACCAACAAAGCCACCTTGACCACCAAGTCCGTGTCCACCAACAAAGCCGCCTTGACCACCAAGTCCGTGTCCACCAACAATTCCACCATGACCAGCAAGTCCGTGTCCACCAACAAAGCCGCCTTGACCACCAAGTCCGTGTCGACCAACAAAGCCGCCATGACCAGCAAGTCCGTGTCCACCAACAAAGCCGCCTTGACCACCAAGTCCATGTCCACCAACAAGGCCGCCATGACCACCAAGTCCGTGTCCACCAACAAGGCCGCCTTGACCACCAAGTCCATGTCCACCAACAAAGCCGCCTTGACCAGCAAGTCCGTGTCCACCAACAAGGCCGCCATGACCAGCAAGTCCGTGTCCACCAACGATTCCACCATGACCAGCAAGTCCGTGTCCACCAACAAAGCCACCTTGACCAGCAAGTCCGTGTCCACCAACAAGGCCGCCTTGACCAGCAAGTCCGTGTCCACCAACGATTCCACCATGACCACCAAGTCCGTGTCCACCAACAAAGCCGCCTTGACCACCAAGTCCATGTCCACCAACAAAGCCACCTTGACCAGCAAATCCGTGTCCACCAACAAAGCCACCTTGACCACTTAGTCCGTGTCCACCAACTAAACCGCCGTGTCCAGCAACGAAGGGACCAGAGCCTTTTCCGTAGCCATAGTTGTTGAAGCCGTAGGGGTTGTAGCCGTACCCCTTTCCAGCAATGCCACCGTTGTTGAAACCGAATCCGAAAGCACCAGCTCCAAGACCTTTACCGATTACGGGCACCTGAGCCAGGCCGGAGCACACCAGCACGGACAACACAGCGACGATGGCCTGAGAAAACAATATGCGCTTATTAAAACTATATATAAAAAAAACCCTGCTATCCATTAAAATGAGTTGTTATTTACTTATTCATGTTTTATTCCACGAGAACTTTCCATAGAACATACGTACATGTACACCCATTCACAAGAGTAAACCATATTGCGATTACATCATATTGGATTATTGGATCAAGCATCCAAACAAATTGGGATTGTATTTTTAAAATTATGAGTTTTTTAATGAACTATTATTTTATATGTCAAGTAAGGGATATAACTGAATCTGATGTCGATTAAACTGCATTTGCCTGCCCCGGAGTTACTAAAGATATATATAACGAAGTCACTTTAGCTTGAAAATTTGTAATCTTACAACTGGCTCTAGAAACCTATGATCGTTGGTTCGAATTCCTGATTCGTCCCATTATATGACCAGGTTTGTTAGTACCATATCCAGGCTGGTGAGTTTTACCAATTTGTCCAAGACTGCTTTCACTTCTGACTTCCCTCCCACACCAGGCTCACATGCCGTCAAGTTACAGAAGTTCTATTCAGAGCGGCGTTAAACCAAATAAAGTAAATGAAGCGACAAAACCCTTTCCATATCAAACAGAAATTTCCGCATAAAGCAGATTCAATTGTACTCACTCATTCAGTCACTGCACATTATGTTACATATAACACATACACGTGGTTATAAGTGAGTGAGTGAGTATGGTTTTACGCCGCTTAAACCAATATTCCAGCAATATCACGGCGGGGTATACCAGAAATGGGCTTCACACATTGTACCCATGTCGGGAATCGAACCCTAGTCCTCGGCGTGACGAGCGAACGCTTTAACCACTTAGCTACCCGACCGCCTCTGGTCATAAGTAAACCGGTCAAGTGATTATATATTTGTGTCATGATTAATTCCATATAACCACCCAAACACCTTGCATCTTCGCTTACCCCATTTACCATCGTGTATATTGTTTGAATATCTTACAAATAAAGTTGAAAAGACTTTTAGAATATGTATAATATCCAAACATTAGAATGAAACTTACCTTCATGACTGGAGTGGATGTTGATGGGAAGAGAATCTGATGCTGAAGACGGGAGTGTGCCGCTTTATATACCCTTCAGGGTGTCTTCATAGGATCATCCACTGAATTAATATGCTCATGAAAAACTGCTGACGTTGCTTATTTAGGATCAAACACCCACTGACGAGCGAAGTAATGGCATAGTTTATTGGCAAATTATAACGGCATCAATATTCTCATAATCTCTGAAGATATCTTCAAAATGGCTTTGTAGATGTACATACATCTGTGAATAACTACTCTGTATCAATACTGGTTTCAAAACAAGTACAGGTTATCAACATCGCCAGTTTCTAGAATATGTTTGTGCTATACGCCTGCAGAAAGTTAAGCATGATTCTTGAAACTTTATTTATGGGATATTTTCCTTTAGTTTCGTTTGTCCCTAACTTCTATTAATTGTTTTTGAAATATCTACGTATGGTATTCACGTTGTTTGGACAATTATGCAAGATATCAACTACACCTTCTGAATTGGTACAAGAACATGCTATGTTTCACAAGATGGTCGCAAATGTTGTCATAACAAAGGATGCAAAGAAGCATAGCAAGAACTTCTAAGGGTAGTGAAATAACTATTGCCATGCAACAGTTACAGAACAGTAAGATCTCTGTTCATGTATTTCAAAATGAGTGTGTCAAAAACATAAATTTGATTAGTTAATAAACCGAAAACGTCCACATGTACGATTTTAAAAAAATGACTATTTTAGATGGAAACATATAGTAAACGTAGCTTTTCTTGTTCCAGGTGCAAATAACCCCTAATAATTTATGCTTTGTATGTGATGGGCACTCGTATTACATATGTTTCGTTACTGTGGACCTATTCTAACCCGGAATCTTCAAGGGGGCTAAAATACTATAACACCGAGTTATTGTGTTTGTTACTCAATCAGTATTTTGTCATACAGTGCTGTCGGTTTGAGTTTGGTTCGGCATAATTAAAAGCAAAACGTTTTGGAAACATAGGTTTAGTTACACCATAAACATGAAGAATCATAAAGGTTTGTGTATGTGTATGTATAAATTATACATGTATCTTCATCAATTATGATGTAGATACGTATGTAAATACTGTTTCACTTGGGTGTGTGGCCTTTCTGACCACTTATATTTATCATGAAGGTATTGATATGAATCTTATCGGAAATTAATTGTTTTATTACATTTGCATGCTTTGGACTTTGTTTAAATGTTATAGGATAAAGGCCCTATTAGCCCATCTAGAAATATCAAATTTAAGGTTTCGTAAAACTTATGAATCTTACCAGTGGTTTAAATGGGTTTTTTTCTTTATTACACTTACATGTACATGTTTTGGACTGCTGACACAATCCAATACATAATTATAAGTTCAGTGCAAGTTAGAATAAATGTTCAAGAGAGTTATCAAGTCCATAACTAATTCTTTTTCTTGTCATGGCCTTAGAAAATTTGCCTTGGTAAATGACTTGCTCATTTTGAAATATTTACAAAACGCTGGAAACCTCTAAGAGCCCTTTTTTGCAAATCTTAGTCTTAACTATGTATTTAGTGTTGTTATAAGTCTCCAACATGAAAGTGTCGAAATGGTCTTAATGGTTACAAAGTCTTAATTACATTCACATGGAGACATCGGATAACTTTCACAATGATTTGTACATTTTTTCACCCAAAATGACACCGCTTCAAACGCCAGAAGTATATCAATATAGGTTTCTTTGTGTAATTAATCAGTGTTTAAAATGGAAGAAATATTTCTTGTGTAATTCACCAACAAATTACCACATCTCATACAAGAACAAGACACATCCTTCAGATAATTAAAATATATGACGTTTATTCATAAACATTTTTTTCTGGAATTAATCATTCCAGATGATAGATAAATACTTCTAAAATATACTTATAGCAGTCATATGTATAAAACAATAGAAACGACTTTTTATATTTCAGAAAAAAAACAACCCCGCTTTAATAATGAAGAGAAAACGTACTTCTCCTTAAAAGAAAACTATGAATAATAGCAACTTGTGACCCCGAGGCAGTATGAATAGATAAATAGACTGATGAGGTGATGACGTTTCACAACAGTCTAAATGACCATGTGACCTTTCATGAAAGTTTACGATGGAGTGTCCTGGGGAGTGTGCGTATTTTGCATACTCTCTTCAAACAATATGCTAATTTAACAGCTGGAGAAGTTGCTTTATAAGGGCCGTGTCTCCTGTCCCTAGCATCAGCATCTTCTTCAGGCTCTGATCATCCTCAACTGTCTCTGCAGCTGCAAAAATGAAGGTATTTTAACTCATTTTGTGGTGATGTATTACTTTATCAGAACAATATATATATATATATATATATATATATATATATATATATATATATATATATATATATATATATATATATATATATATATATATATATATATATATACTTTTGATGGAAGATTAGCCTTATTTTATATATTTCTGTGAATCAAACTTGATGTTGGTAATGTTTCACCATTATTATTCTCTTTACCTAATAACGATTAACAAAATATCTTACCAGATTTAGTCTTATAATGTTTGATTGCAACTTTGGCTAGAATAATGCAAAAGTACTTTTGAGTCGAGTAAGATCGATCCGTCTGGGCATATCAAGGTCAAATATTCCACGTATCTGGCACATACATTATTGTTCAGATTAATCAAGAATCACGTTCCACAATGTCAGTGTCATTGATATAGTTATATAATGTCGATGCACTATTGTACTAAGTGTGTGAGTACGTAGAGACATTCACTGAGGTCGTAATGGACCACTGGAAAAATAAATCAATACTGTGCCCTTTTCAGTACCATCATTAGTAGGAGTCAGTGAACGTACATGTGAATATAAAGTTTGCTACTTTTCTTCTTCAAGATAGCTGAAATTTATTTCGATATTTTTTAGTTTTGTTCTTTTTTGTACATGTTTATCAGTCCCTCTGTCGTTTTGCATTTGTCTCATTTGGCCAATGTTTTTTTTCCTCAGGTCGTCGTCGCTGCGTTGTCCATGCTGGTCTGTTCCGCAATTGCCCAGGTACCCCTCAGCGGTAACTCCCTCGTGGGTAGGCCCTTCGGTCTTGGTTTCAACAATGGAGGCGTTGTTGGCAACGTTGGTTTTGGTGGTAAGGGTCATGGCTACGGCTACAACCCTAAAGGCTACAACAACTACGGCTACGGTAAAGGTGTTGCTGGTCCCTTCATCGCCGGACATGGATCTGGTCTTGTAGGACAGGGACCTTTTGTCGGCCATGCTGGTTCCTTTGATGGACACGGCCCAGTCGTTAGAGGACACGGTATTGTTGGACAAGGCGTTGCTGGACACGGTACCGTCAATGGTGGACATGGTGTTGCTGGTAATGGATACGGCTACGGCTACAACCCCTACAACAACAACTACGGCTACGGTAAAGGCGTTGGCGGAGTCGGTGTTACTGGTTCCTTCGTCAACGGACATGGAGCTGGTCTTGTTGGACAGGGTCCTTTCGTCGGTCATGCTGGTTCATTCGCAGGACATGGGCCCTTTGTTGCTGGTAACGGCATCGCTGGAAAGGGACACGGCTACAACTCCTACAACGGAGTTGGGAATGGAGTTGGTCTTGTAGGAAATGGTCTCCTTGGACAGGCCGGACACGGACTCGCAGGACCCCTCGCAGTCGGTGGCCACGGTGTTGCTGGTCAGGGACATGGCTACGGCTACGGCACAAACGTCGGACATGGAGCTGGTCTTGTTGGAAATGGAGGCCATGGATACACCGGACATGGTGTTGCTGGACAAGGATTCACCGGACCCTTTGCTGCCGGACACGGTGTTGCTGGACACAGTCTCACCGGACCTTTCGCTACCGGACACGGTGTAGCTGGACACAGTCTGGCCGGACCTTTCGCTGCCGGACACGGTGTTGCTGGGCTTGGAGTCGGCCAATTCGGATCCAGAGTTGGAAACGGAAATGTCGGATTCGGCGGTGTTGCCACCGGCCATTACTACTAAAGACATTTGATAATGATATCTGGTGAATGAAAGTGTTTTTTACTTCCTGGTTTCTTATTTGATATATTGTTTCATTCTCTCAAATAAAGAATACACACTGATAACCATCTTATAGTTTCCTTTCGATATTATGTAGCTCTGACAAAGGTCGATATATATTTTTATCGTTATGTGACTTTTACTTAACACTGTCTCCCTTTTAACTAACAAGTTGTTTTGTCCTATTATTTTGAGGATACGGTTATAACTTTCGACAACTCAATGAATATGCGTACAGTGAATATACTTGCGATCAATATTGAATATTGGAAGAGAGATGTTCCAAACACTAATCAACATGAATGCAAGATTTCTGGACAAACCGGCTCTCAGATATACATTCACGTCGACATGCCAACTCAACAAGCTGCGACAGAAGGGAGGGGGGTGGGGGGTAATTTCAGGGGGGGGGGGGGGGGCTATAAAACTGATCAGGCAAACTGGTATAGTTATTGTGAATGTGGCTGGCAAGCGATATATTATCCCGTCGTTGTTCAATTCGCTAGCGTTATTGGCAAATCTTTGGAACTGCAAGATGGCAATGCCTGAGCACATCGTGCCCCGGCCGACATGTCCCCAATAGAGCTTCTGTGGGATGTTCTCGGGCGAAGAGTGTATGTCAGGGACATAGCATCCGCCAACGTTAACATTGTCCAGCTTTCGGTAGCTCTTCAGGCGGAATGGCAGAAAAAACAAAGGGCAACCATACGCACGTTAACCAGCAGCATGCCATCAAGGTGGACAGACCAGATATGGATCTACACGTCTAAAATGAATTTTACAGAGATTTGTTGTCATTACACTTTCCCAATATATTCACTGCATTGCACTCAGTCAACACATTCAACGTGCCGGGAATAAAGCACCAAATTTGGGGATATTTCTGTTTTACAAATGTGAAAATGATGCAATAAATTCTATTAAAACTTTCAAACCAAAATTAAATGACTCTAAATTTTTGAATTTATTTATACAATTATTGTCAAGTTTCCTGCTACTATAATACTTATTTCTTTTTTCTGCATGCATGGTATGTACGCCCCCCCCCCCCCCCCCCCCCCCACACACACACACACAACGTTACTGTGGCGTCACAATATGTTATATTTTACTATCTATCTATCTATCTATCTATCTATCTATCTATCTATCTTAGTGTGAAACAGGAATCTTTACACACACACCTCTTTGTTTCTTCTTATCTGTGGATAGAGGACTAAATTTACTTTAGTCTCGTTCCTTCAAGGCAGATGACAAATTCAGATTGTCAGAAAAGATATCATTTCTGTGTTTTGGCTCTCATTTCTACGATAATCTGATTTAATGTTTTACCGTAACCAAATCAATTAAACTATGATATGTAGATGTAATACATTCTTATACATGCATAGTGTATGTTGTCTATTGCTCGATACTTTGACATATTAACATGGAGACATAAAAATAATCCTTAAAGAGTGAAGTGGGATAAAGTCCATTTTCTTTCTTGTCATGGCCTTAGAAAATCTAACTGGGTCAAAGGCCATCACTTTCTTCTCGAATATCTTATATACTAGTATAATGCCAACAGAACTTCACAATATAACAATGTTTTATCAAGTGTTTGAAAGGCATTTAGAAGTGATACACGTGAGAAAGAGAATGTATGGATGTCAACTTCTTTATCATGAGGAACACAACGTTATATACGAGAATATTCCTACTCCTTCATCAGGTAAATAAATGCTGTGAGATCATATATATGTATCTATATAAAAACAAAAATTATAAGATATTAAAGGAGGAAACTTAACATATCATATCATATTTTATAACCTGGAGTTGAATTACCGAAGCATATAATTATTTATTGTGAAATTCAATGCCAATAATTCAGGAAATATTTATATTTAAAAATATATGATGCCAACAAAGGGATAGGTTAACAATTTATTTTCTGTAATTTATACTTATAAACACATCGTATTTTACATAATTGTCGTCTTAACATTTACAACCTCTTACCAGATGACTGGTACACAGCATTAATCACAGCAAACATTGATGTAATTTTATTAATTATTGATGTTACCTTTTCCTTGGAAGTATTGCATTTTGTATGCAGGTTATCTATTTCAATGTTAAATATGTATACTACTGTGTGCTGTCCGTATATATGTTCATGACAAGGACGTTGTTAAGTTGGAAAATTTTTGCCCAATCCATTTGACTTTTTAATGTCAATAAAATATGTTTAAAACACAAATAACGAACACATAATAATTTAATCAGTATTGTTTTTATTCATATTCTCAAACCAAGAATTCATCGAATGAATTCCAATGATGTATAAGGACACCTGTCAACAAAGCACACAACCTATCCTAGAATGTGACATCGACATATACAATTTCAGTAGAACCTCAGTGTCTAAATACCGCTTACTTCACCACAGAATGCACATACGTTCAGGCAATATCTGAACAGTGTCGTCCCTTCAATCAACAAATTGTTTTGGTTCTATTATCTTAAGAACATATTCCCTTATGTGTGACAGCTCAATGAATATTTATACAGTGAATATGCTTGCGATCAATATTGAATAGTGAAACCCTTATACCATTTCGTTGTGTAACCATTTCTTTTATAAAAACTGTTGATGTTCCAAACACTAATTGTCATGAAAGCAATATTTCCGGACTAACCAGCTTCCACTTATATACATTGGCATTGACATGTCAACACAAAGAGCGAAGTTTCATGCACACAAACAACGTGTACACATAAATGCCAGTAAAATATTATTGATCCATCACATATGCCAAAAGAAAAGAGACTTGTAATAATAAAAATATAGAATATTCATAAAGCATTATGTTCGTCGATTTATGTTCTAAGCATAATCTCAAACTTTCACAAAATTAATGAATTCGAATAATATATAAAGATAGTATTACCTATCAGCAAAACATACAGACTAAAGTTTCCTGGAGTGTGACATCTGCATATTCCCTTTTAGTGGAACCTTATTGTCTAATACAGCTCAGTTCATTATAGAATACATATGCAATGTTCACATGGTGCAAATTCGTAAAGCAGTTCACGAAGCTTACTGAAAAATGTTAACTTAATCTTGCATCTTGCTTGGAATTCTGCAATTAAAAAATCAACATTCTCCCAGTCTGACGACCCAACACAACAACCTACATGTACCTACATGCAGCACTAACTGATAAGTATTTGTTCCAATTCCATCTGAAAATGGTTGGATGTTTGAGATTCGTTGGTCATGTGTTTCTCTCCTGTTGTACTTCACGAGGTTGTCCTTTTACATAACTCATAAGCATGCTGTTGACAAGCTGTTAACATGTTGTTGATTCCCAAATACCGTATACGACGTAATAAGCGCCCAGGGCGCTCACAAAATTAGAAATAGGGGGCTCTTAGAATATTTTTTTGGTGAAAAAATCAGAGTTGAAAGATAAATTTCGTGGTTTATGCTGACAGCCTGAAATGTTTATGTACGACAGATATATTTTTTCCAGAATTTTATTGCCATTAATTAAGGGTGCATATAACACACGAGTGCGTATTATACGCGCATAAATACGTCTTGTGTACATTTATCAATCGGAAGGGATGCTAATTGGGATTGTTCATTAGCCAATATATTGCCAAATATCGCCATGGGCGCGTATTAGAGCAGAGCGCTTATTAAGTCGAATACGGTAGTCCTTTGACACATTAGTGACGGGTGATCCGAATTCTGAAGTTTTTGTATGTGACAGGGTCTACAATATGCTGTTGCTAACTTACAAAATAAATATTGCACTTTGTCATATATTGTTTCAGTGTATTCTCAAATATCTGTATTTTGCTAAACCTATTTGGTTCAGTGTATATACAGATTACACTATGAAAGACACAACATAACATCCCATGTTTATACATGCAATACCAACTGATAAGCTTGTGTTCCAGTTCAAGCTGAAGATGATTTTGGGTTATGTCATCTGTTTCTCCAATGTGGTATAATACACAATTATCGTTTTACAACTTATCAGCATATTTCAAGCTGTTGACATGCAGTATGGATTCCAAAATACTATTAGTCCTTTGACGCTTCAGTGAAACAGATGATGTCCGATACAATTCCCTATTTTAACTTGCACAATGTGCATCCATGTTTTTGTGTGAATATTTGAATCGCCCTTGCATGTGTTTGTGACGGGTGCCACCAATGGGTCAAGATTCGCTGACTTTTTTATTTAAACACACTTTTTGATAGCGATTCAAATGCACATTCTTATGACACAGTCGACATCATAAAATGGACTCTGCTTTTAACACAGATACCGTACGGTAATGAAAAGGCTTGTATTTGTACACTCGTGGTACTGGATTTTCTGGTTCATCGATCACTTGATTGTCTGGTTTGTTTACAGGCTGGCATCGCATGGCAGGAGTATTGCTGTGCTGCGTCAGGCAATAAATATTTACTTTCTTATGCAAATTGTGTGAAAGGCGGGTGCTACCTGGTGTCATCACTGATTTTCAGTGGTCCATTCACCTAATTTCCACAATTATTTGCCCTTTACGCCAAGTGGAATCTTCTTTCGGCAGAAGATCTTGGGCTGGTTATTCTCGTTCATTGACAATTTATATTTGCTATAATGTGTAGAACGACGTGTAATTCATATGCAATGTAAATAAAATCATCATTTTTCCGTAGTTATTGTTCAATGTCATAGATCAAAATAAATAAACTGATAAATTGGAGGTTCTGGCCAAATATTGTTAAAATGAAATCAGGGAGGCTTCTTACATGTTTTATACACTATAGGATACATTACAGCTCAAACGCAAATTACCCAAGAATGTGTTAATAACGCGTTCCGTACGTGCGTGTTTAGATTGATCAAAAGATTAATATTCAATATATGGCGATATTATTTATCTGATAACACACAAAATATTTGATCACAACCGTAAGAGAGAACACAAATATTAAATATCAACACGCATGGAAAACATATGAACGTCATGGTATCTTGGTATGAAAATTGTCAGACAT